TATAGGGGCAGGGACTCAACCCCCTTCCCCCCCCCCCACAGAGCTCCCCAGGCAGTGCAGAAGGGCCCCCGCGCACCCCAGCCCTGGGAGCAGGGGGATGCCGACTCACGTTGTGCCATTGGTCTCCCCGAAGCGCTGGTAGGTCGAGGAGCCAGCGCAGCTGTTGGGGCCATTGGAGGGGCTCCCCTCGGGCGTCACATCTGTGGAGCTGTAGTCATTGTAGTCCTCGTTGCGCAGCCTGCGGCTGGACATCGTGCCTAGGGGGACAGTACTGTGAGGGCCCACCGTGGCTACCATCTCTATGCTCCCCCCTGCAGTGGCGCCCGCCTCCTCTGCCTGGGGCTTCTCCAGATCAGCCATGGCTGTGGGACAGGTGTGCACAGCTACTGCGGGAGCCGGCTGTCCCCAGCAGGCTTTTATAGGGCTCTGCCTCACCTACTGCCTCAGTCACAGCACATGGGCCCTTATGCCACCTCCACCCATGTGGGATCCGCCCAGCAGCTCCTACAGGTGCAGCTCCCTGCAACGTGACCTACATACATATTCACATCAGGAAGTCCACGGGACAGACCGACCCGTTTCCCCGACACAGCAGAACAGGTAGCCCACACACAGGGCAAGGGGGTGTGCAGCCATCCCCTGATCCCACAGGGCACCTTGGCAGCACCCAATGCCCAGGGCTCCAGGCTGGTCCCCAAGGAAGAGACCTCACTACGGGCCACGCACTGGCTTTGTGCTCCCTCAACTCCTCTGCTCTGCTTGATTTTTGCTTGGGATCAAGCCAGTGCCAGAGCCAGCTGCAGGGGAGCGAGGGTACAGAAACCTTCCCTGCCCACAGGGTCTGGTGGGAGTGATGCGGCAAGGATGGGGTGTAGAGCAGCAGCAGTAGCCTCCTTGCAGGGCTCCAACCTGTCTCTGTAGCATACACCAGGGACCACACAATGCAGCATCTTGTCCTCCAGGCATCGCTTGGAGCAGAGGACCGATCAGAGGATTTAAATCCCCGCAGTCCGCTGGCCCAGGGGCCATCTCCCTACTCAGATGCTGCACCCACCAGTGCTCCCCCCACCCAGAGCAGACAGGCCTTGGAGATTTGCAGGAAGGGATGGCCAGGTCCACAGCACCCAGCTCCGCTGCTGCATGAGGCCAGCCGGTCCCGCCAGGGATGAAGGCACGGTGGAAACTGAGACGCACGTGGCTGGGCACCTGTGAGCCGTCTTAGCAAGACACCTGGTTCTGCCAGAGCAGCACAAGCACCCACCCTGGCTCTCAGCCTCAGCTCCCTGCTGGGGACGCGACGTCCTGCTTTCTGGGTCATAGCTTAGGTGAGCAACTCCCGGGGCGGGGACAGCACTGAGCAGAATAAGGCCCAACTCCAGCTAAGGCCCATCTTCCAAGCCAAAAGCAATAGCAGGAGACAACGAGAATGGGCAAGAGCATCAGGCTGCATGCGAGGGGACAGGACTTGAAGCTACGGGGGGCAGAGAGATCGGGCAGGATGCCGTGGAGCCGGAACAGCACTGGGTGGAGGAAAGTCCTGGCCACAAGCAGGGAATTCCCACTCGGCTTCTGGGACGCGGCACCTCCCATCCCACATTTCCACCTGCGAGGGCCCACACGCCTGCTCTCTGCCACCTTCGCTTGAGGGCTCTGACCATCACCTCCTGCCCCAAGCCCCACACCAGCCTTGCCCCAACACCGGGCACCATCTCCCAGTTCACTCCACTTAAGCAGCGATGTCAGATGTCGCTTCCTGGGCGCTGAAGTACCACCCCATCCCTGCTGAGAAGCACTCCAAGCTTCCTAGACAGTCGCATTGGGCTCTTCCTCTTTTCCCCGAACACCCTGCCGCTACCAGCGGTCATTGCCCCCAGGGAAGCCAAGGGTTATCTGGAAACCTGCACCATTTGCTTTTTGATAGGAACATGAGAGGGCGAGATACGGACAAGAGGCATGGAAAATTACCTAACAAACATTGCACAAGACATCTGAGCTTCGAGACGGTCATGTCGACAAAAGACATCCTCTCGATGGATTTCTCCCGCAGCAAAGATGCACCCCCCCACCCCCCAGTAGAAATGCTGCCTCACTCGAAGCTGCCCACAAAGCACCTTATTCCTGTCTTTAAAAAAAAAAGGGAGAATCTCTGGCCTGCTCCTTGGCATGCTGCACTGCGCTCCCAGCCCAGACCCACCGCTGGCAGCATGTCAAGAGAGATCCTTCCTCCCTCCCCACCCCAAATCGTCTCAGCAAGCGATGGCCTGCTCCCATCCAAAGGGTGGCTGCAGAAAGGCCTCACTACAGACAGGAAGGCTCTGCCTGCAGCATGGGGAAGGGAGCCCACTGATCCAGTGCAGAGACAGCTGCCCCTCTTAAGCGAGGCTGGTCCCTTCCCCCAAGTTGCAACCAGCCCATGGTGTCCCCCATGGCATGGAGGCAGATCCACGCCTATTAAGTGTTGCACAGCCAGGAAGGACCCCCATGAGGCAGCTCAGCTCTTCCCTCCTGCTGCAAAACACCCTTGGCTTCTCATGTCCCAAGCAGCAAGGCACTCCCATCCCATCTCAGGAACAGCATCTGCAGGCTGGTCAGGTGCCAGGCAGGCTCATCAGCCCATCCACGGAGAGGACATCTCTGCTGGGGAGACGCAGGCGCCAGGATGGGCCCCCACAGAGGTTAGAAAGCGAGGCATGCAGCTGCACACCAGATCAGAGGTCGAGAGCTGCATTAGCTCAAAAGGAACAAATCTAACTGGACTTCAGACTAATTAAATCAGATAGATACTCTATGACTTCCCAGGCCTGAAAGCTTGCTAATAACTTTTTTCCAATGATTCAGTCTAATAAAAGATAATTGCATCTGCACAAAGAGCCTTGCCTGCCTAATTTAGGTAATAAATATCTTACATTAGCTAGACAGGGCAATCTCTACATGCAAGAATGAATGAAAGAAAGAAACTGGTTTGACAACTGCTGCCAAATGACACGAGAGCCGGTGGCAGATCACTTCAGGCTCCCTGGACACCCCGTCACTGCCCGCAGGACTGCTGTTGTCAGGCAGCAACGTTTTAAAGACCAGCTTGAATGAGAAGCTGCAGAAGCAGCCATGCACTGGCCAGACTGCGTTAAGTGTGGTTTAAACAGGGACCAAGGGTGCCGTCACATTATCTGGATTAGCTTTTGTGACCCCTTTGTTCCTATGGGCTCTCTGCTTGTCCCAGCACCTTCTCTTTCCCCTTTCTCCTCTTTTTCAACCTTTTATATTCAAATTGCTCCCTCTGCTTTACACACTGCTCTGTGCTCCCCTGAACTCCAGGATGAGCATTCATCAGGTGAACAAAGCCAAGAGGCTTTCGCACGAAGGAGCAGCTCGGAGCCAGCCTGGCAAGACCCCACGAGCTGATGTGCAAAACACAAGGCAGGAATTTGATAAGTGTCTGTGAAGAAGTTAATTAAAGCCTGGACCCAGACCCCAGATAATTCTCTCCTCTTCCTGGAAAAGCATAGCAGCTTCCTTCCTTGGAGCCCAGCTCAGTTCAAGCGTAAAGAGCACTCTTGTCCACACTCAGCCAGGTTTTAGCCAAGTGTTTGCCACGCGGTACCACCAAGAGCCACCGCCAACTCCTACCCGCCCCCAAATGACCAGCAATATTTATACAAGCAGATTCCTACTCCCTTGCAGGAGGAGATTCACTCACCCTTGGCGTGGGTGAACGGCTGACGCGTGCACCGGGAACGATGCAAGCTGCTGTCACGCTGGGAAACAGAAATGCAACAAAAGAAACTCCCCACCAAGCCAGCTAGTAATTACACAGCGCCGGAGACACCACCTACTCCTCGCACGCCAGCCGCCGTGGGGACGGAAGACCCTGACACGCTACTGGAGACTCACGTCAGCAATGCACTCCACAGAGAGAACAACAGCACTCAAGCTCTCCCTGTAATTTTCCCCAAGCAGACCCAGCTGCTCGTCTCTTTTGAAGCCCAGGAAGATTGGCCCACGATGACTCGATGCCTTTGTATCTGGAGAAGAGCTTGCATAAGACCAAGAAGCACGAGAGGCCAATTTCCCTTTCATCAGGGAAGGGGAATTAGCAACCCAGGGTGCAGAGGCTGGAAGACGGTTGCAAGCCTCTGCCGCGTGAAGACTATTGTCAAGCAAAAGCAAACCCCGCCAGAGCTGCAACTTCTGCCCCGGAGGTCCTGCAAGGGATGAAGAGCCAACTCTGACCCTACCCTGCAGATACGTGCGGTTCCCTTTATACCCGAGTACCTTCCACCCCGACTTCCAGACACACACGCGTGCGACAGCACTTGCAGCATCTTGCTCTCCCACGGCGAGACTCTTCCGTCCGAACTGAAGCAACTGAGCCTTTCGCCCCTTGCTCCCTGGGTTACTCCCGGCTCGGGCAGGATGTGAAGGGCTTGAGGTGGCTATACCTCCAAGGCTTTCATCTTGATTCTGCCCTTAAATGATCTTTGCTCTCGTTATTCATCACCCTCTTACTGCTGCTATTATTCACTCCATTAATCACGGGCGCTGGGAAAGGCGGCAAGGCCGCGCAAACGCTAGGGAAGCTTTTGCTTTCACCGGCCACGTGCGCTCCTCTACGCAGGCACCGCTGACCGGCCTCCCTGCTGTCCCTGGGGAAGCCGGCACTGGGGAAACCGCGTTGGCCCCAGCACCCGCCGCCCAGGGCACCTGAAGCATGGTCAGCTTTGCCTGGCATCGACCCAGAAGCACCCAGCCGGACACGCGATACCGGCTGCACGCTCCAACCCAGCCTCCCCCGGCCCCACCGCTGCAACCCCCTCCTCTGCCCCACCACGGGGGCTGCCCCACAGCACCGCCCCCAGCCAACGCAGCGCAGCGCAGCCCCGTTCCCTCCTCGATGCGCAGGGAAACGCAGTGCAACATGCGCACCCCCAACGCGCAGAGAAAAGCAGCCCCCTCCCCTAGCTGCACAGGGCAGTGCAAATGTACCCAGATGTGCAGTGCAGTGCAATGCAGTGCCCCCCCCAGATGGGCGGTGCAGTGCAATGCAATGCAGTGTGCCCCCCCCGATATGCGGTGCAGCGGTGCCCACCTGCCGCGCGCCGCTCCCAGTCTCAGCGGACCCCCCCGGCCATCGCCGGCTCCTTCCGCCCGGCGCTCATGTGACCTCTCCGTCACGTGACGCGCGGCCCACGTGACTCGCGCGTTCCACGCCGCTCCCCCGCGCATGCGCACCGCCCGGCTGCGGCGCCACGTGGCTGGAGCCGCGAGGCCCGGGGTCCACTCGGGGCTTCAGCACCTCCGCGGGTAGGGAGTACGCCCCTCTGGGGGGCCTCCTAGTGAGAAAGTGTGTCCTGATCTCCCGTGTAAACCTCCCTTGCTGCCACTTGCTGACTGCCGCGGGGGTTGCGCGGCTACGGGGTGATAGTAGGGCAAGGCTTCTGCGGCACGGAGCTCAGAAAGACCCCGACGGCGCAGGCGGGTTTGGGGGCTGGGGGCTCCTGCTTGAAACCAGCCGATCGAGCTGAATGGTGTGGCTCTTCGTACACCTCCCGTGGCGCGGCGCCCTTCAAAGGATCCCGTGTAGGATCTCCCAGCTGAGAACCGCCCCCGAGGGCGACTGGCCAGCAGCTGCAGGGAACCGGGGGCTGGGAGGGGGGACTTCATCTGCTGTTGGGAAACGTGCAAATTGCGCAAGGAAGATAGTGAGTACTACGCTGCAGCCCGCACGCCCTAGTGCTGGAGGGAGACGGGGGCTCTGCAGGCCACTAACAGGGTGCTTGGGTGTCACCCCGAAGGTAGAAAAGCAGAGCCCACCCTGAGCTAGAACATCAGGGCTGCCATGGACTGGGTCAGACCCAAAGTCCATCTTACTCCGTCATCTCTGTCACACCCTGGACCGTGTGGCCTGCACCTCCTCGAGCATATCTGGCAGCAAGGGCTTGGGGAAAGGTGGTGCCGAGTCTCATTAACCAAAGCTGTCCGCGGCAACACCCAGGGCAGCGCCAAGCCAGCCATCCACCACCTGACTCGCTGTGGCAGCATGAAGCGCATCTCCAGCCTCACGTACGAGGAGACCCACGGGGTGCTCTGAAAATCTTCCTGGAGAATGTGATCTGCAGCGCTGTCACCTGCACTCGGGGTGCACCGATAGATTTTGGGGGCTGATGCCGGTAGCCAATATCTAAGGAGGCGTATTGGGCGATCCCGATCCAATTTCCAATACAGCTGCGTGCAGCTGGTAAGTCCATTGCGGTAGAAGGGGGGTGGGGAGGGAAGGGCTGCGGGGGTGATCAACGCCCCTGCAGTGAGGAGGGAGTGGGGCTCGGGCAGGCACTAGGGCTGTGTGAAATGTCACCAGCTGTTTTGATTCGACACTGTTTCGACTCTTTCCGAGCTCAAAACAGTGAAATTGAATCAAAACAGAGGGCTTCAAAACAGCCTTGAAACACAACGAGGCTAGTCGAAATGTTTCGAATTTCAAAGCAGCCAAGGGCAAGGTGGTGGGAGACGGGAGAATCAGAGCTGTGCTCCCAGCTGCAGCCGGGAGCGGAGCTGGGGCTCCCCCACCCCTCCCGCTGCTGGACTGTGGGAAGCTGATCACAGACAGGGAAAGGGAACTGATCCTGGGCTCAGTTCCCCTCCCCAGCCCCACGATCCAGCTGGGGACGGGAAGTCAGCCTAGCTGGGCTGAGTTCCCATCCCCCACGCTAGATCGGGCTGGGGAGGGGAAGTCAGCCCATCCCCAGCCCAGCGTTGAAACGGTGAGGCTGTTTGATTTGAAATTAAAATTCAATACAAAACACTGTTCCATCCAAACCTCGACACTGAAGTCGGAACACAACAGTGCCGTTTCGCACAGCCGTGGCTCGTCCACGGGATGTGGGGAAGGGGTGGCTCCCACCACTACATGCACCCCAGGAGGGCACAGTCCCATGCACCCCCCGGA